TAGGTTTATATCTCACATATAAGTGATATCATGTGATTTTCAACCTTTTCTGTCTGGCTTATTTTGCTTAGTGTAATTATTTCAAGGTCCATTTGGGGAATTTTTCTTTTTTAAAAATTTCTCATGACTGCTATAGTGGTCCAATCTCTATCCCTTCAGTCTGTCCATTGTTTATCTCTTCTTTCCAGAGGACTTATCTCACCATACACTTCTACTTTTCTCCCCAGGATTAAGAAAAGGAATGCCTACCTTGACGTTGCCCTTCGTGCACCATTATGTGAATCAGTGGACTCCTTGTGTTTAGAAGGTTTAGGAGTCTCTTGTGCTTCTCTCACTGAAGGCGTAACCCAGAGCCCTGGCTTCATTCAGATAGGTCAGAGACCAGAGACAAACAGCTGAGCACTCTGATGAGGTTAAGAGACTTCCACTATAAAGTGTACCTCAAAAAAAAAGAAGTTGTGGTTTTGCCTAAAGTTTCCAGTGATTTAAAAGTATCAGGAAAAAAAAAAAAGAGGAAATTGAGAAACACAGCCAAAACTTCATGAAAAATTTGACAAAAATGTTCAGATCATTTGTTCGGTTTCTGGCATGAAATCTCTATTTCTCTGATTCCCATTCATTCTGGCATGCAAAATAGAATATTTTATATGCCCTAAAAGAAATTTATTTGTGTGTCTTAATTAATTTAAGTGCTCCCTAGCTGACTTTACATTGGATTTTATTTAAGACTTAATCCATGTGGTGAATAGCGTCCTAGGAAGTGAACAAAAGTCTGATTGAATAGAATTGGCTTAGATAAGTTGTTAATATAGTAAATTACGTAAAGACACAGGAACATTGTTCAAGAATGTGATTCCAAAATGGAAGATTCTGGAATTTATCTGAAAAAGTAATTAAACTTTCTTATTGCATCAATACCAATATTGAACAGAGGTTAGTAATATTTTTTAATTTTCTTGATTAGGTAAGGGAAAGCTTGAAGTGGTATAACATCATAGTCAGGCTTCATGAATTCCTTATCATTACTCAAGGGCTCAAAGATCCTTCTTAACATGAAGTCTCTAGAATATAGACCCAGCTCTCTATTAACATCAAAAATATCTCCACTACTCAAATGAGCAGTCCTAAATACAAGGAAAAAACTACCATGGATATATGGATATAGAGTATTGAACTCAACAGGCTTTTTAAATACTCATAGCAAGTAATGAAATAAATATCTAGACAGGATTGAAAACCCATGAAATTATCCCCAGTTGGTTTGAGTTGTCATTCATAAGGGGAGAAAGGGAAGTAGTTATATGACAATCTGTTTCCAGTTTCCGTCAGAGATGAAGAAACACAATCAAATGACTGAGTAATTTGTTGATCTAAGAAAAGAAAACCTACTCCTTAGCGATACACAAGGAAAGCAATTTAAAGACCTCTTTGCTTCTTTGTCCATCTCCAATACGTGCTGTCCTAATCATGTTCTGTTCTTGACCATTGGCAACCCTGTGCTCCATTCTCTTCACTTATTTTCATACCTTTGTTCTATACGCATTTCTAGATTACTAGTGGCCTTTGAATGGTAGTAGCAAAGTCAGAAAGGAGCAATGTACCAGAATAAAAAATGGTATAAAACAAAACAAAAATTGATGGGGAGAATGGCAAATCAGAGCAAAAGCTGAACTGTGGATAGGTTCAAGTGAGATGTGCAAAAAATGTAGGGTATTTGAGTCTGACCAGGGCATAATGCAAAACCTAGTGATGGAGAGGATAATAACTATTATGGGATGAAGATAAAATCATATACTATTAGAGTCAAAGTGGATATTTATTGTTCTGTTTTGGCTTGACTTCTTTTAAAGGATTGGCGAACCAGCAGTTTCAACCAAATCACTTTCCAAGGAAGCAGCATTAGGTCACCCTTTTGAAAATTAGTGTCCATGATTAAACTAAGTAGACCCAATATGATTTTTTTGTTTAAGAATTTAGATAATAAAGAATTTAGGCAATCAAATCAATAGGTGGTGGCAATCACTGCCTTTAAGAGATATTTGGATTTACATATTTCATCCACATAGATGTGCATAAAATATTCTTGGTCTATAGGTTCAGATGTACAAGATATGGAGCATCTCATTATTTTCAATTTATCAGATTATTGTTATTTCCTCTTCTTAGTGGCTGATAAGAAATTCCCTATAAGTCATTCTTGGGACTATTCTCTGTTCTGGGATTACATCAAGATTCTGAGGATTACCTAATCCCAAGAAATTGAAATGAGGAAGAGTAACTGATCATTGCTCATGAATCCATGATGGTTGTGTTGTAGCATCACACACCTAAAGTACTCAGTGCCACATAGTCTCCAATGCTTTGGAATCAACTTTGTCCTGCTAGTTTTACTGAGTTCAAGTGTTGGTCTATAATAAAATAGTTCACCATTACTAGAAATGAAACAGTTTATTTGTGTAACCTTAAATAATTTTTCTTTCCTTATTCTTTACCAGAGGACTATGATAGTAAAGTTAAGTTTTTGGGAAGTTGATAACAACCCAGATAAATAATGACAAACTTTTCTAGACCACTGACCAATTTGAGATTCTGATAAAAGCCTCAGATCAATTAACAGATTTTTTTCTTAAATACAGTGACATAAAAATTATACATGATATTTTTATTGAAAATTAATTTACTTGACATAAAGAGTGCAAACTATTTTTGCAAAAAGTCTCTAATATTTTTTGTAATATTAAAGTCCTTTCTTAAAAATAAATAAATTAGTACCATATTGTATTGACAAAAAATAAATAATTATTTTGATAAAAATTGTGATACCATAACATAAAGTGTGGGAGGGAGAGAAGTAAAAGTGTAGATTTTATTAGCCAAGTTAGGTTGTTATTAGCTCAAAATAGATTGCTAAAACAATAAATTGTTTCATATAAGCCTCATGGTAAACACAAATAAAAATCTCATACTGGATACACAAAATATAAAGAGAAAGTAATCGAATGATACCACCACCAAAAAATCATGAAATCACACACACACAAAAAGACAGGAAAGCAAAAAAAAGGAACAAAAGAACTACAAAACAGAAAACATTTCCCAAATTGACAATAATAAATATTCACCTATGAATATTTACTTTAAATGTGAATAGATTAAATTCCCAAATCGAAAGACAGAGAGGCTAATTTGACAGAAAACACAAAACAAAACTAATAAACCAGATCTAACTACATGCCACCTACAAAGATTGACTTTATCTTAAGGACAACATAGGTTGGAAGTAAAGGGATGAGGAAAAATATACTCTGCAAATAGTAACCCAAACAGTACAGAAGTGGATATTTTTATATCAGACAAAAAAAATTTAAGTCAGAAACTATCACAAGAAATAAAAGTAATTATATTATGACAAAAAGATCAGTACATCAAGAAGATATCATGATTATAAATATATATACCCCCAGATTTGTGCAACTAAATATGTAAAGCAAATGTTAACAGAAGAGAGAAACAGGCAGCAGTACCATAGTAGTAGGGAACTTTAATACCTCACTTGCAACAATGGATACATCATCCAAACAGATCATCAAAACGGGAACATCGGAATTAAACTACACATTATATAAAGTGAACCTAGTAGATAAATACAGAATAAAAGAAATAAAAGTAAAATAAAAATGAGCTTTCAAGCCACAAAAAGACATGAAAGAACCTGAAATTCATATTACTAAGGGAAAGAAACCAATCTGAAAATGCTACATACTGTATGATTTCAACTACATGACATTCTGAAAAAGTCAAAATTATGGAGACAATAAAAAGATCAATGGCTGCTAGGGTAAGATAAAGAAAGATAAATAGGAGAGCACAGAGGTATTTAAGAGCAGTGAAAATACTCTGTATTATCTTAAGATGATGGATGTATCATTATATATTTGTCCAAGACCATTGAATGTACACCTAGAGTGAACCCTAACATAAACTATGGACTCTGGGTGATTATGATGGGTTAATATAGATTTATCCTTCATGAAAAATGGACCATTCTGGTGAGTAAAGTTGATAAAGGGAGAGACTATACCTGTGTGGGGATATGGGAATATAGGAAATCTGTAACTCTTTCTCAATTATTTTGTAAACTTTAAAATGCTCTAAAAATTAATATAGTTTTTAAAGGCTATAATAATTAACTAAATATTATATTTGTACATAAAGCTATATAGCTATGATAATATCACACAAAGCATACTTTAGAGCAAGGAAAATTATTAGGAATAAAGATAAACAGTACATAATGATAAAGGGGTCAATTCTCCAAGAAGCCATAACAATCTTTAATGTGTATGCATCTAACACTAGAATATTAAAATACATGAAGCAAAAATTGACAGAAATGCAAGGAGAAATTCATTTTGTTATAGTTAGACAAATCAACATTCATCTCTCAATACTGACAGATACATAAGACTGAAATAAGGATATAATTAATTGTTCAGTGCCATCAATCAACTAGATCTAATTGACATCTATAGAATGCTTCATCCTAAACAAAAAAATACACATTCTTCTCAAATTCACGTGGAACAGCACCAAGATAGGCCATATTCTGAGCCATAAAGAACACATTAAAAATAAAAAAAAAAAATCTTACAATGTCTGTTCTCAGACCACAGTGGTATTAAACTAAAAACCAATAAGAGAAAGATAGCTGGAAGATCTTAAAATACTTGGAGATTAAACAACACACTTCTAAATAACAGATAGGTGAAGGAAAAATTCCCTCATTTAAAAATTTTTAACTAAATAAAAATACAATTATAATAATTTATGGGATCCAGTAAAAAGAGTGCTTAGAGAAAATTTTATAATATTGAATACATATATTAGAATTAAAAAACCCTAAAATCAGTAATCTAAGCTTCCACTTTAGGGATTTATAAAAGAAGAATAAATTAAATCCAAAGTAAGCAGAAGAAAAAGCACAATAAAAATGAAAACAGACATCAATAAAATTAAAAACAGGAAAACAACAGAGAAAATCAATGAAAGCAAATGTTTTTTCTTTGAAAATATAAAGAATAAATAACTCCCAAGCCTGAGTAACCAAGAACAAAGGAGAGAAGACAGAAGTTACTAATGTCAGAAGTAAAAGAGAAGTTATAAAAAGAATATTATGAACAACTCTATGTCCACAAATGTGATTACTTACATAAAATGAACCAACATCTTAAAGACACAATTTACCAAAACTCACGCAAAGAGAAATAGATCATC